ATATATATATATATATATATATATATATATATTATATATATATATATATATATACGTATATATATGTTTGTTTGTGTGTATATGTGTGTGTGTACAGGTGAAAAAACATCATGGATATTTTTTAACTTATATCAGACAGTCAAAAATTGGAATACAGAGTACATGAGATGTATGTATGTATCTGTTTGTCTAAATATGAAAGAGTATAGTCTATGTATAATTATATAATAACTATAGTAATTATCATGACATCGGTAAATAATAAGTGGTGTTTACTGTAAATGATCACCTTGATTTACTCTCCGATTTACGCCAGACAACTCCGCTGACGAGGCCAACAGGGAGCTCGAGGAGCTGTATGGCGGCATCGTCTCCAAGGAGGAGCTGGCCCGACTCGACTCGCAGCCGAATCCTTTCAACTTCAGCGAGCGAGTGTCCCAAACGACCAGACTCAACATTAAGGTAGCACAGGAGTGATGATTGATTTATTGCCAGTAAAACAGAGCAATGGTATATACTATCATAGATCTGATACATGTGGTACTGCAATAATTTTGGAGTAATAGAGCGTAAACATCCGTGCATAATTAGTGCTTAATCGCGTTCACGGTCTACCAGAATCTGGCTATCCAGACGGAGCCGCCGCCCAGCACTGCATTTTCAGTCAATGTGAGCCTTGGAGAAATATTCGATGCCTACATCAAAGACTACGAGAAGATAATAGAAAAGGAAAAGGAGCGCGAGAGGGAAAAGGAAAAAGAAAGGGAGAGGGAAAGAGAAAGAGACAGAGAAAGAGGAGCACTCAAGGGAAAACAGGTAATATTAATTCAGTGCCATACTGATTTGTTTCTTAGTTCAACGCATTATGTGTAGGTACACAACTATTGAATATTTACTCGTTAGTGATGAAGTATTGCTTTTGTCTCTGAGGAACAATATGATCATCTGAGTGGGATGAAACTTTTAATGATCAAACTATGCATTCCGTATCCCTAAATTTAAACTTTATGAAGCTAGTGTGCCTTCTCTTGAAGATTTTGTTCAACTACTTGCTGCTATGTTATAAGATATTTTTCAGTAACTGAGAAATACTGTAGATAGTTCATGTTTTCTGTTATTTCTGGTAGGTTCACTTTATTCTCTCAAAGCAGTGCTCAGTTTTCTGTTTATTTCCCGCACACACATTGTGGCCTTTTCTTGTTTGCGGTGATTAAAACGAATTTTTTTTTTCTTCTTATTTTGACCATGAAAGAAATATTAATAAATATACATGATTAATTCATTCTAGTAAACGTAAAAAAAACTTTAACCTTTGTAAGTAAAAACTTCATCTACTTTCTTTACATGATATATAGTCAGAGAAGGGTTATACGTACAGTGCACATTCATAAGTTAATTAAAATATAGAGAACCGTAAATACAACTTTCATCAGATTCAGGATTTCCGTGAAGGATGCCATGTAAATTGATGTGTGAAGAAATTTACCATTATGATCTTTCTCGACTTTTTTAAAATAAGAAATCTGGATTTTCCAATAACAAGCATTGCGCCAAGCCTGTATCTTCACAGACGTCTAGGGACTATATTGTTGAGCTTAGGTGTTGTAACTAATACTGAGATTAATCTCTATAACGCATTTGCTAGATATTCACGTCTGACATGATAGTTACAATTACACTATAGTTTCTATGTGGACTACCATTGTTAATAGGAAAATCATTGATAAGTTTAAATCTTTTCTTTGTCCTAGTAGTCACAATAATATTTTATTTAGATCACCTTATGAATTCAAACAATTATTGTTATGAAGTCAAGGTAGACATTTCTTCATGGCTATTACCATTAAGGGTATTTTTTTTATATTGATGGTTGGACATGATTAGAGGAAAAGTTCTTTTTGCTATTATACTTTATCTCATAGATGGTTAACATGATTATGGGTATTATTAATAAGAATACAGATATACTTGACAGTAAACAGTTGTATTTGTTGATTCTGATTCATTTCTATAAATGATGTGTCCTGATGTGTCTCGCAGTCCCCTCGTGTGGCACCCGAGCCTCTCCCTCCGCCTGTCCTCCGCACTCACAGCTATGGGGATGAGTCCCTGGACCTGCCTGGCATCAGGAGGACTGTCATGGTGTTAGAAAGAATGGTCAACCAAAATATATATGATGACATAACACAAGGTAAGTATACGGTGTAAAATCTGTACATTTTAGATAAATGTATATTCAAAACCAGAATCAAAATACTCAATTCCATTTATTACAAAAAGAGTATTTTTTCAGGAATTTGTGAAAGGTACACATAAGGTACACACTGAATTATTCTTATATTTTGAAACCGGATGGCATAGGTGATTTGCGAGATATTCCTATGACTTCTTTTTAACCGTACTCGAGTTCTGAATGTTTCTGATATCATGAAGTAGTTGGTTCCAGATCATCGGTCCACATGTTAGGCTGCTGTGCCCCATGTCTGTACAGTTGCAGACATCTCCAACTGACATACCACGAGTCTGGAGGTGATTTTTATCTGGCTATACATGTGTAGTATGAAGTATTCCGTGGGGAAGAGACGTAGGTCTATATCGATGACTGTGATTGGTTGAAATAGTATTTCAAATGTCTATAACAGGAAGGAAACCCGACTGAGGACATTGTATCAGAATGTCATAGCCATTCGACAAAACACTTTTTTTTATGAGAAAAATTATTCAAAATGTTTCTGAGTCTCCGGCCTCGAAGTTTGTTGTCCCACACACACACACGTACACACACACATCATCATTAGCAGTTAACGCCGACGGCGAGCAGGATCAGCCTGTGGGAAGCGAGCCAGGTGGCCATATAGCCTGAGTTGGCAATCCCGGATTGTGCAGGTAACAGGTCCTGTGCCAGTCTCACGGTGCAGCCGTTGGTTAGACACATGGTCCCGCCAACAGTACCCCATGATCCGGCGCAAGGACCTATTACAAAAGGCATCGAGACGAGACTCCAGGGCACTGGATAATGTCCAGGTTTCACTACCATAGACCAAAACTGGCATTATCAGGGCCTTGAAGACACGTAGCTTGGTCCTTCTGCACAGGTACCGGCATCTCCAAATAGTTTTGTCGAGAGAGTTCATGACCCCGGCTGCCAGGCCAGGTCTGCTGACTTCCTGGTCTGACAGCCCAAAGTAATGTACTGCACTACCAAAGTATATAAAGCTCTTTGTGACTTCAGTGTCCTCGCTGTACCAACCGAACAAGTTCTCCTAGCAAGTCCCCAAAGTTATGGATCTTGCTCTTGGTCCAGGAGACCTCTAGACCCAAGGGATTTGCTTCATTGCTAAATGCATCGAGACCCACCACTAGGGTTTCCAAAGACTCAGATAGAATAGTAACATCATCGGCAAAGTCAAGGTCTGTAACCTTAACATTACCCAGTGTTGCTCCACAATGACTTTGAACAGTAGCTCTGCTTAGTATCCAGTCCATGCAGGTATTGAAAAGTGTTGGTACAAGAACACAGCCTTGCCTCACTCCTGAACTGACAGGAAAGTACTCGACAGGTCCCCACCACACTTTACAGCACTTTCAATACAGTTCAATAATCCTTGTTGGAATTCCCCTCAGTCTCAGGATCTCCCAGAGTGATTCCCAATGCACCGTATTGAACGCATTCTTGAAAACAATGTAGGCTGCAAGCAGCCCATATCTGAACTCACGATGGTGCTCTACAATGACTCGAAGCGCAAGGATATGGTCTATTGTGGACTTACTAGGAGTGAATCCAAATTGCTCCAGCCTCTAATGCCTCAGTAGATGGTCTCTAATATGTCTCAGAAGGATGTGGGCAAGAACCTTGCCTGGTATACTGAGCAGTGTGATGCCTCGGTGATTGCTGCAGTCCCATTGGCCCCCCTTCCCCTTCCAGAGAAGGATGACTACACCCCTCAGCAGGTCAGGGGGAATGGTAACGGATGGCAGCCAGGACAGCATGCAATCCCTGCACCATAGGTTCACCACCAACCTTTCACAGTTCAGCTGGGATGCCGCAAATACCCGCTGCTTTACCACTCTTCAGCTTGGAGATCGCCACCCTAATTTCAGTTAGGATGGATGGGTCCGGCAGTGGAATCACGGCACTTCCCGCATCCAAGTTAACTGGTGGGTCAACCTGATACAACTACCCAAAATACTCAGCCCAACGTTCCAACACTGCAACTGGATCAGAGACAATCTGGCCACCTACTAAGCGTACTGCGGTCACCTGTGAAGAGGGCTTGGAATTCAGCTTTCTCAGGGCTTGGTATGTAGGATGAAGGTCATTTACTAAGAAATAGCCTTCGACCTCCTCAGCAAGGCTCCTAATAAACTGTTCCTTGTCCCTTCTTAACAGAGACCGAGTTCTGCGCACCTGAGAATGGTGCAAATCCCGATCCCCTGCCAGATGAGCCTCACAGCATGCATCTGTGGCTTCCAGTGTCTCCTGAGAGATTAAATTCTGTCTTGCCCTTAGGTGGTCTTCAATCGATTCTTGAGCTCATCAAGCGTTTTGCGCTTGAAAGTGTCCCACAGAAGTACAGGGTCCGTCAGATTGTCGACCGCTGTGAAGCGATCAGAGATTCTCTCAGCAAACTCCTGAGCACACTCCCTCTCCTTCAGCCTGTCCAAATGAAACACCCTGGGGTGATCATTGGGCTGCTGGGGAGTTTTGAAGTGAACCCGGAGGGTAGCCACAACCAAATCTATGGTCAGTACCACAGACCTCGGCACTCCTATACACCCTGCAGTTCTGGAGGGTGTATATGTGGTCGATCTCCTTGGCTGCATTACCCGCATCGCTGTAGCATGTCTAACAATGTGAGTCTGGGTGCTGGTACCAGGAGGCAGAAATCCTCAATTTCTGGGATCTTGCGAAATCCCGGAAAAGGAGGGAATTCTCGATGCCGGTATCAATTCCCAAACCATGAGGACCGACAGAAATCTCATAGCCAGCTGGATCACAG